CTGCACCTTGTTGTCTCGGATTCTCCAGCATCTGCAGTTCCTACTATCTCTGATCCAGTTTTTCTTTTTCTTTGTTTTAGCAAATTAATTCCTTTTTTTTTTCATAAAGTAACAAGCATTTTAAATTTGACAGATTTGTCCTATGGAATATGATCTTCTTGTCAAAGCTGATACAATAGAGTTGCTGTATGGGCTATCATTACAGACTGATGGTAAGGTGTTCCTTTACTTAGGGAGAGCATTAAAACAGTTATACTTAGTAGAGGCTTGACTGGAAAGAAGTCAGCTGTTCACCCCAGTGGCTGGGCAGTAATGAAGGACATTGAATAGCACAAGTAGAAGTGTAATTTAAATAAAATACATATTTTGCCAGAAAATCCATTATCTATCACCTCGTACTTTTTAACCTACGCAGGTTCCCAGCAAGTCTAAAATCACCATTTGTGCTTATCTGGATTGAAATTGTGCTAATAAACTGCCTGTGTCATTTTTTAACCCTAAACCCCTTTTGATCTTGCTGTGCCAGGCTTAATTTATAACGTAACCAACTGCTGCCATGAGTTTTCTGAAGGTGCTGTTGGTTATAGACAAGAATTTTTTGCTTGACTCAGTGATATGCCTAAGTTTGGTATTTTGCATAAGCATATATGTGGGAGTTGGATAAGTTACCATCATGCTGCCCCATGCTTTTCTGTTTATCATTTCTATCTTTTCTGTAGCTTTTCTTATCACACAACATTAAAAGCAAAGTTGCTCCTGGTCATAACATATCCTTTCATAGGATTTAGGAAACTTGAAAGGAAAACATCTTGACCAGGTTCCAGAATTACACCTTGCTGCATTTGGATGCAAAAAGTCATGTTTTCCTTTTCCTGGTCTTGTATTATATGACTGGATGGCATGGTGGCTCAGTGGTCAGCACTGCTGCCTCACAGCACCCAAGGTCTTGGGTTCGATTCCAGCCTCAGGTGACTGACTGTGTGGAGTTTACACATTCTCCTTCTGTCTGCGTGGGTTTCCTCCACGTGCTCCAGATTCCCCCCAAAGTCCAAAGATGTGCAGGTTAGGTGGATTGGCTATGCTAAATTGGCCATAGTGTCCAGGGATGTGCAGGCTAGGTTGGTTAACCATGGGAGATGCAGTGTTACCGGGATAGGGTAGGGGTGTAGGTCTGGGTGGGGTGCTCTTTGGATGGTCGGCGTGGGCTCGATGGGTCAAACGGCCTGTTTCCATGCTGTAGGGATTCTGTGATTCTACATGTTAAAACGATTTGAAGCTGTACTGGTACCAGTTCACTTTTACAACTTGAGCAATGCAAATGGCGATGTTGACATTGATGTGCCTCTTAGAAAAGCACAGCACGTCTATCTCTGGCCTGATGGATAGTTACTTTTTGATGGACACATTGTAAAGTCGGTAACATGATGATGAACATGATGTATTCATTTGTAATTAACATGTACTTCTACATTCCGTCAATTTCCTATATCATATCTCTCGTTCTGCTTTGTTTTTCTAAGAGAGGCTGCAATATGATTGCCTCCAAATGTCATCCACTTGTTTTCCATTTGGCAAATTGATTTCTTCATGAATACTAGACACAATGTTTGAGATCAGAATGCTTTACTGTGCAGATATGTGGAGTTTGGACAGCTATTTTGAAGCTGTATTTCAGGTATATTCCATCCCTAAAATGATAAGTATTATTTTGGTTGTTGTTGATGTACTGTGATGCTTTGAATCAGATGGTCATGTGTGAAAGTTGGTGCATAACGTAATTAAAGGATTAATGTTGGAGACTGCATTTCCATCCAATCTGATGATGTCCTATTGTCTTAGTTGGGGAAGGGGGAATTCCAGCTAAAGATCTCAATGGTGACAATGAGAAATTGTTGTTCTCTGATTGGTTTGTTAGATGTAGGAATGAAAACTATGTAACTTGTACCTATTGCTATCATGTAATAAACTACAACTATCTGTTCAGGCATATACCTTTAAGAGTAGAAAGGTGTATTGGTGGCAGTACTTGCACACCATTTCAGAGACATCAGTACAGCATCCAGGTTGTCATTTTAGTTCATTGCAGAGGGAGTGCTGCTCTGGCAGAGATGCTGGGTGTTAGATGAGACATCAACCTCTCAAGTGAACCGAAAAGTTACCATGGTGTTATTTAAAGAAAAATAAGGATACTTTCCTGGCACCTTGACTGATATGATGAATTTTTCAAATAACGACATGAAATCAAAGAAAATAATCTGGTTATTCATACACTTGCTATTGGTGAGACTTTTCTGTGCAGGAACTGCTGTATTTGCTTGCACAATGGATGTGAGTACGTTTAATAAGTACTTAATTGAATTTTAAGCTTTAGGGTGTCTGAGATGTGTAAAGTGCTGAATAAATGCAAGTTTATTTGTTATTTATGCAAATCAATTTATGAATGAGACACAAAAACAAAGTTGCTGGAAAAGCTCAGCAGGTCTGGCAGCATCTGTGAAGGAAGAAACAGAGTTAACGTTTCGGGTCGGGTGACCCTTCCTCAGAATTCAGGATTTATGCAATGTCAAAAGCAAGTTATTTGTAAAGAGGCGAACACTCTGCAAAAAGCACATGCAACCTTTCAGCCCATAGCCTAGTGTTTCCTGTCAGTTTATTTTATACATCAGCGTTTTAAACACTCATTCCGAAGTTAATGTTTAACTTTCTTGTTTCGTCAAGAGTTGGACATGTTTCCAAATGTTAGCTATGACAGCTGCTGACACTGTTGATAAATGTTCAGCTCAGCGGTACACTTTAAAAATTGAGCTTGGATTAATGTGCTGGTAAATTGAACCGAGTGAAGTGCATGTTGAGCCTCAAGAGATCAGCTGGTTATGATCTGTCTTAATGTCCGTCTAAACAGATAGTAAGGACCTTGGTTTTTGCAGTTTATCAGCAAAACTACCTGTTGCAATGCAGATTCTTTTCTTCTGCTCTGAAGTGTCATACTAGATGATGTGCAAAGGTCTTGGAGTGAGACATGGAGGAGCAATCTTCTCAAAGGTGAAAGTGCTACCAACTGAGCAATTTGTAATCGACCAAGGAATTCAGATATTCCAAGGTAATGCAAACAACATCTGATCACTGTGGTTGAACTTCAGCCTTTGCACAGTCTTCAGTGTTCTTTATGCTATTCGAACACAACATTGTTGTCCACTTAGCTATAAAAACAATGGCTACAAAGCAGCTTAAGAAGGTTATCGTCATGCTCATAGGGGTGGCAACAAATCTAGCCTTACCAATGCCACTCAAATTGTGAGGAAAAGATAACTTAATGTGTCAGAAATCATGGTTTAAGACCATTTCTAACTTCACAGGAAAAATGCACTTGTTGTGATGTCATAATCCTGAGACAATAAAAATAGTGTATAACATAAAAAATTCTGAATTTATAATTAAGGACAGACTTACCTGAGCATTGTAAAAGTACTGAAAATAAACAAAACTCACAAATAACATAGAATGAACACAAAAATATCTTACCCATGAATTTGTTGATGTAAAATATGTTTTAATAAAGGATGCCATGACATTTGACTGGAAATGTGAAGATCATCAGTGACGGTTAGTACTACCCTACATTCAGTAAGCTGCTTGTCTATTGCAGCTTTTAAATATGGAAGAAAACTTTAGGTAAATCATTGACCAGTATTGGTCATTGCATGTTCAAACTCACAATATGGTTGGTGTAAGATTTTGTTAAATGCACTCAAGAAGCACAAATGTAATCATTTGGAGCTATTCACTGCAGGTAGACCAGGTGTGTGTTTACTTTGTTAGTTTGTTCTGACTTGATTACACAATGAGTTTTTATCAGGAAATGGGTGGCGTGGTCTCAAGGATGTGCTGCTAGCCGGCTGGTTAATATTTCCCTAAAACAGCTTTACTGCCTTAGCACTGGAAATGTTTTCCTTTTCCCTGTTCAGCTGCTGTGACTTTTGAGAAAACCTCTTGTTTTAAAAGTGAAAATGCTGCATCACTGTTCTTTGCTTTCCTTAACTTGGCTCAAAACACTGAAATTAAACTTGCTGGCTTGTTCTTTTTTTTCCAGGTTGTGACACCGTGCTTGCCACCAGTCAACTATGAGCTGGTAAGTAGTTCTTAATGCTGATAGCTGGTTTTTACAGTAATATTGTTGACAAATGACATGTGATCTTTGCATTAAGTTGGCAAGCATCAAGCAGGCAAGCATTAAGCAAAACCGAACAGCAGTTCAGTCTTAGTATGGTAATTTGTTAGAGGATGACAGAAGTGGTTACAGGTATGTGTTTTGATTACTGATTTTCAAGTTGAGGCATACTCTGCTGAAGGGACATTTGACTCAGTATTGTCACATGATTGGAAGAGTCAGTACTGGCAGTGAGAAGTTAGATGTCAGTATTAAAGTTCACATTTGCCAACTGAGCAGCAGAATGTCACTATTCTCCTCAGTAGAAGTTTAGTGCCCAACGAAGTAATAGGATTCGGTCTTTAATCAGCATCTGGGTGAATGAAAACATTGTTTAGTAGACATACTGGAACATAATGCACGTTAAGAAGTAGCATATGCCTGCTGGACAGTATAAATCCCCAGTGACAAAGGCAGTGCCTTGTGTTCTGGTTTTCTGTTTATTAGTACTGGGCTCAGCCTGAAGCACCATTTATGTAACTCACGTGGCCTTTCACCCTGTGGAGCAGAAATCGATTATCCCATGGTCAACTGTGAAACAAAATTGCAAGTAGATTTATATGTTTTCTGAGGGAGGGACTACACATTTTTCCTATCTCCACTTCAAAAAGTTCTTGATATTTAAATGACACAGTTCGAACAGTTTAATCCCAAGTATTAATTCAATGCTGGAACATTATCACCATGAGGCATTAGCGAATAATAACTCGTTTCAAAGTGAGTCGTATATGTTGCTACACATTGTTACTGCTAACTTGAATACAATGAAGTTTTCAGTGTCTGTACTTCAAGCTCAAGGCTATAAATACCATTGTGTACTGTGTTTCTATTCCGCAATTATCCAGTTTGAGAATGCTTGTAACGTTTGATAGCTGTGTCACCAGACCAAAACCAGCCAAACTCAACTTTAGACTTCGGAATAAAGATAGTTCAATACGATTAGGTTGTGCTGGATTTTAATTCAGGGCTGCAGAGATAAAAGTATTTTCAACCTGACTGGGCCTGGTATAAATACAAAATGTGATTCTCACTTTTTGGTTTTCTGTTGAGCTCAGTGGCAGTTCTACTTCCAAATGTACTCGGGGTATCTCTCTGAGACAAAGCAATTTACAATATTGAAGGGGGCCATTTGGCCCATTATTTCTGTGCCATCTGACAATGAGTTATCCAGCCTCCTCTCACTTTCTAGCTGTCACTCTATAGCCTTGCGAGTTACAGCACATCAAGTGAATGCGACATTTCAAGTTCACCAACATGTGGCTACAAAAGATTCTCCTCGACTCTTTCCACTAAATTATGTCAGTATTGTGCCCACTTAATTATTGGGTCCTCTGCTAAATGAAAGAAATCTTTCCTATCAATTATATTTAAGCACCTCATAATTTTGTACACTTCATTTAAAATCAGCCCCATTTAAAAGAAAGCAATCCCAGCTTATTCAATTGTGGCTTAACTTTTCTTGTCCTGGCACCATCTTTCTAAAAATCCATTATGAAAGGAAAATACTACAGATATTGGAGATCTGAATCAAAAAACAAAAAGTGCTGGAAATGCTCAGTGGGTAAAGCAGCATCTGTGGATAAAAACGAGGCTAAGTTTGAGCTCAAATCAGAACAGCTCGTTGAGTTGAAACATTAACTCTTTCTCTTCATAGAAGTTGCCTGAATTGCTCACTTCCAGCAGTTTTTTTATAAAGCCTAATAAATCTGCTCTGTGTCCTCCCTATTTAAATACAATAACAAAATTCATCTCAGGAGTACACCACGCTGCCTAATTATAAAACACCATATTCCAAGTGTGTAGCAACAGCCACTCCTTGTGATCAGAGTTTCATATCGTGCCTTTCATTTGACTCACGATTTATAACTCAAAACATTTTTGAGAGACACATCCAGAAAGCAATTGTTCAACTGCTACAGTTGAGTACATGAAGGACCATAGGCACCACTCTCTTCACTAGAAAGAAAGAGAGAGAAAGAGAATTTGTCCTATGTAACCTGTGGACTACAGTAAGGAGAGATTCCTCCTTGAACAGGGATTGAACCAACTCCTTGGGTATTATTCGGCTTCGCCAGTTAAGGTCAGTTTTACTATAGTGCTGTATGACTAATATATAAAGCTTGAATAATATCCTAATGATGGACATGCTTTCTGGTCTATGTTGAAACATTCCAAGAAAGGTCCTTGTTGGAATTGTTTTGAAATTTAGTCCATGGTTCATTTTAACAGTTTAAAGGTAATAATTCATTCTAGAATTTTTTTTATTCACTCGTGGGACATGGGTATCGCTGGCTGTCCAGCATTTATTGCCGGTCTATAGTTGCTGTTGAGGCAGTGGTGGTGAACTGCCTTCTTGAGTCACTGCAGACCATGTGCTGTCCGTAAACCCACAATGCCCTTAGGGAGGGAATTCCAAGATTTTGACCCAGCAACAGTGAACGAATAGCGATATATTTCCAAGTTGGGATGGTGAATGGCTTAGAGGTACTTGCAGGTGCTAGTGTTCTCATGTATCTATTGCCCTTGTTTTTCTAGATGGATGTGATTGTGGGTGTTTGGGAGGTGTTGTCTAAGGATGTTTGGTGAATTTCTGCAGTGCATCTTGTAGATAGTACACACCACTGCTTCTGAGCGTTGGTGGTGGAGGGAATGGATGTTTGTGGGTGTGGTACCAATCAAATGGGCTGCTTTGTCTTGGATGGTGTCAAACTGCTTCAGTGTTGCTGGATCTGCACCCATCCAAGCAAGTGGGGAGTATTCCGTCACACTCCTGACTTGTGCCTTGCAGATGATGGATTGGCTTTGGAGAGTCAGGAGATGAGCTACTCACCACAGTATTCCCAGCTGCTGCCCAGCTGTTGTAGCCACTGTATTTATATGGAGTATTCAGTTGAGTTTCTGGTCAATGGTAATCCCAGGATGTTGATAGCAGGGGATTCAGTAATGGTAACACTGTTGAGCATCAAGGAGGTGATTAGACTGCCTCTTATTGCTGGTCATTGCCTGGCATTTGTGTGGTATGAATGTCACTTGTCAACCCAAACCTGGATATCATCGAGATCTTGTGGCATTTGCAACATAGCATACACCTAGATAAGCTGAAATTGGAGGTCCTTTTTAAGCTGCACCCATCTCCATGACAACATAGTCAGCACTGGATTGCTTCAGTGTCTGTGGAGTCACGAATAGTGCTGAACATTGTGCAATCATCAGCGAACACTACTGACCTTATAATAGAGGGAGGGTTATTGATGAAGCAGCTGAAAATGGTTGGGCCTAGGACACTATCCTAAGGAACTCCTGCAGGGATGTCCTGGAGCTGAGATGACTGAAGTCCAATAACCACAACCGTATTCCTGTGTGTCAGGTATGACTCCAACCACCAGAGAGTTTGCCCTTTTTCTTGTATTCATTTGTGGGATGTGGGCGTCGCTGGCTGGCCAGCATTTCTTGCCCATCCCTAGTTGCCCTTGAGAAGGTGGTGGTGAGCTGCCTTCTTGAACTACTGCAGTCTTCCTGCTGTAGGTTGACTCACAATGCTATTAGGGAGGAAATTCCAGGATTCCAGCAAGAGTGAACGAATGGCGATATATTTCGAAGTCAAAATGGTGAGTGGCTTGGAGGGGAACTTGGAGGTGGTGGTGTTCCCATATGGCTGCTACCCTTGTCCTCCTAGATGGAAGTGTTCATGGATTGAAAGGTGCTGTCTGAGGATTTTTGGTGAATTTCTGTAGTGCATCTTGTAGATAGTACACACTGCTGCTACTGAGCGTTTGTGGTGTAGGGAGTTGATGCTTGTGGATGTCGTGCCAATCAAGCGAGCTGCTCTGTCCTGGATTGTGTCAAGCTTCTTGAGTGTTGTTGGGGCTACACTAATCCAGGCAAGTGGAGAGTATTCCATCACGCTCCTGACTTGTGCCTTGTAGATGGTGGACAGGCTTTGAGGAGTCAGGAGGTGAGTTACTCGCCGCAGTATTCCCAGCTTCTGGCCCACTCTTATAGCCACTGTGTTAATGTGGTGAATCCAGTTGAGTTTCTAGTCAATGATAACACCTACGATGTTGATAGTAGGGGATTCAGTGATGGTAACATTATTGAATGTCAAGAGGCGGTGTTTAGATTGTCTCTTATTGGTGATGGTCATAGTCTGGCATTTGTGTGGCACGAATCTCACTTGCCACTTGTCAGCCCAAGACTGGATATTGTCCAGATCTTGTTGCATTTGAACATGGACTGCTTCAGTATCTGAGGAGTCACGAATGTTGCTGAACATTGTGCCGTCATCAGCGAACATCCCCACTTCTGACCTTATGATGGAGGGAAGGTCTTTAATGAAGCACCTGAAGATGGTTGAGCCTAGGACACTACCCTGAGGAACTCCTGCAGAGATATCCTGGAGCTGAGATGATTGACCTCCCACAACTACGACCATCTTCCTATGTGTCAGGTATGACTCCAACTACCGGAGCATTTCCCCGCTGATACCATTTATTCCAGTTTTGCTAGGGCTCCTTGATGCCACACTCAGTTGAATGCAGCCTTGATGTCAAGGGCTGTCACTCTCACCTCACCTCTGGAATTCAGCCCTTTTGTCCATGTTTGAGCCAAGGCTGTAATGAGGTCAGGAGCTGAGTGGCCCTGGCAGAACCCAAACTGGGCTGTGCTGAGCAGATGCCACTTGGTAGCACTGTTGATGACACCTTCCATCACTTTATTGCTGATCGAGAGTAGACTGATGGGGCGGTAATTGGCCGAGTTAGATTTCTCCTGCTTTTTGTGTGCAGGCCATACTTAGGCAATTTTCCACATTGTCGGGTAGATGCCAGTGTTGTAATTGTACTGGAACAGCTTGGCTAGTGGAGTGGCAAGTTCTGGAGCACAAGTCTTCAGTACTATTGCCGGAATATTGTCAGGGCCCGTAG